TGGTTTGTGCTTCTCACAGTGTCCATGGTCAGTGGAAGCCGCTTAGATGCTCTGCTGGTCCACTGAGTTCCTAGGGATCATCAAAGGTGATTTTAACAGCAGTTGATGGCTTCCTGCATAAAACAGGGGAGTCTCCCGGAGCAATGGATGAATATAGGAAACTGGCTTGGTGTTGTCAACAGTAACTGGCAAAGGTGGAGAAGCTGATGTTTTACATGAACATCATGAACTTATTATTGAGCCAGATGTAGTTCTCTTGGGTTTTAGCCAGGGGTCTTTCTCCATTCTCTCTGGAGATGCTGGGGATTGAATTTGGAACCTTCTGCATGAACAAGGAGTGCTCTTCACAATTTCAGATAGGAATCTTTCCCAACTTGAGCTGGAGGTGGAGGACTGAATCTAAGACCTGCTCCATGCAAACCATGGGCTCTGTGGGAAAGGCCTTTGCAATATTCACTTGCGCTCTCTGTTTGTGGTGATCTGGTCTTCTGTGCAAATGCCTCCAAGATGCTACTCATACTGTCTTGATTTTATTGTGTGTGTTGGAGGTAGGGTTGGCCAAGAGAGATGTACCCTCTCCTTTTGGATAGTTTCCTGCTTTGTTTCACCCGGGAAGGTTTAGAGCTGGGCTACCTACCAGACAAAAATTATCTGGAACTTCTTTTCCTAGCATGGAAAAATAATGAAAAGAGGTCCACTTGCCCCTTTGTTGTTGCTGTTGTTTGAGATGGCCAATAAAAGCACAAAGCCTCTCCTCAGTTGTGTGGGTGTGAATAAGAAAGTGAGCCTAACTGTGTGATGCTCTTGAGCCTGGCACATGGCTGCAGTCCCTCCAGTCCAGAGATCCAGGCCAAGTTTTCCCTTTGCTTCAGCATTGCAGTGAGTGGACAGCAAGTCTGTCCAGCTTGTTAGTGCAAAGCATGGAGTCCGCCAGTGTCTCAGCAAGAGCAGTAGCATCCTTGAGAGCGGTGGTGGTCTTCTGAGCCTGGGATGCCAGAGACCCTGGCCAGGATCCAGCCTTGAAGCTGTCTTTGACTGGGGACGCTCCATCCATCGCTTGCTATGGACTTCAGGGTAGTTATCCTGCTGCCTCTCTCTCTTTGGCTTTGGGGTAAGTAGTCCTAGAACCAGCTTTTGTTCCCTTGTTAACTGGATCGGATTCTGGTTGCTGTGGGCTTCTGTGGCAAAACACACAGAAACACACACATTATTTCAGAGCAGCCATTGCCACCTTGCGTCTCTGCTTGGCTTGAAACTTCAGCAAAGCAAGTTGTCCCAGAACTGTTCAGGCACGTGTGTGCTCCAAATGCAAATCAGTTTCAAACTGGTGTAGATCTGTAGTGCAATGGTGATGGTGATGATGATGATGATGATGCCTCCCTTGCTGTAGTTATTGAAATAATACTATGGTTATTTATTTTTAAATCCCATAAGGATTGGGGTTGAGGGGGGATGATGATGAGGTGCCTGGGGGAAGATATTAAGATGGTATTATCAGCAGGTGGTTTCCTGCACAAAATATATCAGACTCTGCTGGGAGCAGGTTTCTAATAAGAGGGGTCCCTTTGCATGAAGTTGGGGTGGGAGGAATAGTGAATTGTGGACACATGCTTCACTCTTTGTGGTTCTTAGTCTTTTTGAGTGTAATCTGTAGAGCTGAACCCTTTAAGTATAGCAAGGCAATCATTTCATTTTCAAGAAAGAGGCCAGGCTGAGAAGATGAGAAGGGAACTGGCCTTCTTTGCTTGCCCAAAACTTTCCAGTCTGGTGCTCAGAGCCAGAAGGAGCTCTTCTTCTTCTTCTTCTCTGGAGGAAAACCACTTTTTAAGTGGGACTCTCCATTCTCCCTATCAGGCTTCTTCTCTCTTTCCTCCCTTGCCTCATCCCTTTCTCCTCTTAGCCAGTGCCTTGCTCTCCTTTCCTCTCCCTATAGATCCAGGAGCTGCTGGGAAGGCAT